GCCTCCATTAATTTTGTGCCCTAGACACCTCACTTTCTCTTACTCTGGTCCCAGCCCTGGGAACTTCTAGATAAGCAAGGCTTGCTTAGACTTTGAGGAGTATACCCAGGCCTGAGCAATGTCAAGAAAGATATGTTAAGCTGTATACTTTATCAACCTCCCCCCCATCGTGACTCCTGACAGACACCTTTATTTCTGAGTCTAGACAATTTGATGAGGCAAGGCATCCCCTCACCCAGGGGAGCCCTCAAACAAAAGCTGGATGTCTCCTGCCATTTGCTTTAAGTTAACTTTCCTCAAAGTTCAAGTGCCTTCATAAAACGTAAAAGGGGGACTTCCCTAGTGGCACAGTGGTTGAGAATCTGCCTGCCAATGCAGGGTACATGGGTTCGATCCCTTGTCCGGGAAGATCCCACATACCGCGGAGCAACAGAGCCTGTGGGCCACAGCTACCGAGCCTGCGCTCTAGATCCCACGAGCCACAACTACTGAGCCTGCGTGCTGCAACTACTGAAGTCCACGTGCCTAGAGCCCATGCTCCACAACAAGAGAAACCACCGCAATGAGAAGCCTGAACAACGCAACGAGGAGTAGCCCCCGCTCACCGCAACTTGAGAAAGCCCGCGCGCAGCAACGAAGACCCAACGCAGCCCAAAAAAACGTAAAAGGAAGCCCCAGCCTGATGGATTCCTCCCTGCACTGGGGCCTGCACGACCCTTGCACACTTCTCTTTGAGGACCCAGGGAGGCACGGAGGAAGCCTGGCTGCTCACACCCCCACGTGACCTTGATCCCGCGGACTGCCTGTGCGCGGCTCATTTGTTGATTCAGTGGCAAAACAAAGCAAGTTGAAAAAGACATAAGGGTTAAAGGTATCAAAGTCTAAATAGGAGTATTTGTTTATATTCCTTTTAAAAACTGGCAGTTTCTGCTAAGGAGGCTGTCCTGGAGAAAGGAGAAGAGAGGCCAAAAATGCAGGAGAAAGAGAGAAGCCAGGGAAGTTTGTAATTACACTTTACGTTCATGTTTCCCACAAGGACTGGGAAGAGGGGCCACTATGAAGGACTGATGATTTGTTCTTGGGAAGGTTTTCTCAGCCCCGGCAGTGTTGCATTTGGAGCGGGATGAATCTCTGCTATGGAGGCTGTCCTGTGCACTGCAGGATGTTCAGCAACATCCCGGGTCTCTACTCACTGGACGCTGATGGCTTCCCTCCCCAGTCACGACAACCAAAGTCTCCAAACATTGCCAAATATCCCCCCGCCAGGAGTGGTACGACAAAATAGTCCCTGCTTGAGAATTCCAGTTTTAGGGGGTTGTCAGGGCTTCAGCTGACTTAAGCAAAGTGACTTTCCCATTATAGGACGTTCCTGTGAATTCTGACTGCGAAGAAAGGAGACAGCGTTCTTTACGATGACATATCACTGAACAGTAACTCATCATTCTAGGCATCCTAAAGTGATATCCAAAAGAGTATTACAAGTGTTTATTTTACATATTATATGGGATCTTTGACTGAGCGGAGGAGGAAAGAGTAAGGGCCCTGATATCCCCTCAGAGAGACCTCCAAACACCACATACTGCTCCATGCACAAAAACGCACCACAAACGTTCCCTCATCCTACACTTCTTGTCTGAAAAATGATGTCAACAGCTACAACTAATAATCCTTCAAAATTTATAAATCAGAGAATTTCAGTGGAAATCATCAGCTAAGTGGTAATTTTTTAAAGTACTGAACTTTATAGATACATTAGTACATATCTATATTTATAGTATTAGATAGATAGATAGATAGTATTGTTTGTATGTTGCTATAGCAATCCGGCGACAGGAGTTAGTTTTCTTCGGGGTACCAAAGGTAATAGTAAAATGGGTGGCGTTGGTATAGCTTCGGGTGTTTCGACACAGTCATTTCACTAGATGCTCACAGTAAGGCAGGAAAGTGATTAGTGTCACTTCTGTGCATCTGGCATCCATGATGGTACAGGGATAATGGCTCCTTAACCGCCTCTATCACCAGAAAGGATGTGCAGGGGGAGAGATTGCCTGTCAGACTTTCCCCCTCTGCAGCCCCTGTGTCCTGTCTCACGGCTTTCAACGTAATCACATTGCTCAAAAAGAGGCCCAGGCCTGCCAGGCCCATCTTCTCCCTCCCGCCCCCTGTGCCAGCCCAGTCTCCTCCCTCCCTGATTCTGCCTGCAGCTGCCACTCTGCAGCTCTCCTCTCAGGAACATCAATTTAAGTTGCTTTAAGCCAGGCCTCTGAGCATCCTTAAAGCACTTCCCCTGCTGCCTCCTATACAGCTGTCCTGGTGATGAGCTCTAGTATAGAACAGAGATGGACCGTTGTTGCCTTGACACTCTACCCCATGAATAAGCCTGGGAGGGGGGCTGTTATATGGCGGATTCCCCACAAGAGTGGGGAAAACAGCATCAGAAGGATGAATAGACAGAAAGCTATAATGGGGAAAAAGAACGGGACTTTTAAAAAAAGGTTCTTTCAAAGCAGGCTGCTGCAGGCTGCTGTAAACATTCCTGGTACTGTTTAAATTGGTCTGTCAATGTGCATTGTATTTCTTTCCATGCCTCCTGTTGGTTTTTCCTGCAGGCTTGTCCCCAGTGAGACCAGGCCTGAGAGCTAAGCCACTCCCACCAGCTGTAAATATCCTCCCTAACACCGTGTTATACGGAGCACAAAAGCCATATATCCTTGGACTTTAGGGTAGTTGTGTTAGTCAGGGTTCTCCAAAGGAAACAGAATCAATAGTGTGTGTGGGGGGGGAGAGAGTGGGAGGGAAAGAGTAGTGAGAGAGAGACAGAGAGAGATTGATTTATTTTAAGGAGTTGGCGCATGCAATTCTGGGGGCTGGCAAGTCTGAAATCTGCAAGGCAGGCTGGAGACCCAGGGAAGAGCCAATGCTGCAGTCTTGAGCACAAAGGCAGATTGCAGGCAGAATCCCCTCTTCCTTGGGGAATTTCTGCCTTTGCCCTTAAGGCCTTCAATTGATTGGGTGAGGTCCACCCACATTATGAAGGGTAATCTGCTGTACTCAAAGTCTACTGATTTAAATGTTAATCACATCTTAAAAAAGCCTTGGGACTTCCCTGGTGGCGCAGTGGTTGAGAGTCCGCCTGCCGATGCAGCAGACACGGGTTCGTGCCCCGGTCCGGGAAGATCCCACATGCCGCGGAGCGGCTGGACCCGTGAGCCATGGCCGCTGAGCCTGCACGTCCGGAGCCTGTGCTCCGCAGTGGGAGAGGCCACAACAGAGAGAGGCCCGCGTACCACAAAAAAAAAAAAAAAAAGCCTTGGGACTTCTCCGGTGGCGCAGTGGTTGAGAATCCGCCTGCCAATGCAGGGGACACAGGTTCGAGCCCTGGTCCGGGAAGATCCCACATGCCGCAGAGCAACTAAGCCCATGGGCCACAACTACTGAGACTGAGTGCCACAACTACTGAAGCCTGCGTGCCTAGAGCCTGAGCTCTGCAACAAGAGAAGCCACCACGATGAGAAGCCTGCACACCACAACGAAGAGTAGACCCCACTCGCCACAACTAGAGAAAGCCTGTGTGCAGCAATGAAGACCCAACAACGAAGACCCAATGCAGCCAAAAATAAATAAATTCATTCATTCATTTAAAAGAAGCCTTTACAGCAACATCTAGACTGGTGTTTGACCTAGACATGGCCTAGTCATGTTGACACATAAAACTGACCATCACGGCAGTCCTACAATCCTACCTAGTGGAATGGGACTAGATTCAATAGGACTTGAATCAGAGCTGAGGTACAGGCAACTGCCTCTAGGGAGCCTCTCTGTAATGGTCTGGGTTTGGGGAACCCATGGGTAAATGGGAGGTTCTGCCTTCCACATGCCTTCTCCATTGCCATCTTTTTAATTTCTTTTTATAAATTTATTTATTTATTTATTTTGGACTGCGTTGGATTTTTGTTGCTGCACACGGGTTTTCTCTAGTTGCCCCAAGCAGGTCTATTCTTTGTTGTGGTGCGCGAGCTTCTCATTACGGTGGCTTCTCTTGTTGCAGAGCACAGGCTCTAGGCGTGCGGGCTTCTGTAGTTGCAACACGTGGGCTCAGTATTTGTGGCTCGCAGGCTCTAGAGCGCAGGCTCAGTAGTTGTGGCGCATGGGCTTAGTTGCTGCACGGCATGTGGGATCTTCCCAGACCAGGGCTTGAACCCGTGTCCCCTGCATTGGCAGGCGGATTCTTAACCACTGTGCCATCAGGGAAGTCCCTCCACTGCCATTTTGTTCAAGCCTGCTCTACAACTACAAGTCCTACTGGAGCCCCCCATTTCCTTCCCAAGTGCTCACAAAGCCTGCATAAACCCCTCCTGCATGTGGGCTTGCTAGCCTTTGTCACTTGTTCAAAGTCAGCAGGGTCAGCTACAGCCTTCAAGTGATTCTAGGCCAAAAATTACTGCAGTGCCACTGTGAGGAGCCTGGAGTTATTCTGGGGTGAAGGGGCCTGGGTTGGGCTCACCAGCCAAGATAAGAAATACAATGGAACAGAAAGACCGCTATTCTGGGAGCAGGGCAACCTAGCCCCATATTTGTCACTGACAAATGTCAGTTAAGCATTTTACATCTTTAGGCCTCAGTTTCCTTGTTTGTAAAATGATAGGGGTAGGCCCAGTGATCTGTAGCTCTAAGATTCTTTGATTCCATTAGCGTGTTGGCACGTGGCCTCTGACTACAGGATGCCCCACCCAATCCATGCCCAACCTGACCCATATTTTAGGAGGGAGCATTTTCGATAGCTATTATTTATTCTTCTGTCTATTCATGTATTAATTCAATACATTTGTGCCTACCCTATGGATGAAAACCTTCCATAGTATTATGACAGATACAAAGAAATTTAAAACAGTATCCCTGCTTCAAGGAACTTAAAACCCAGCTGGGGAATAATTCAGTTAGGATATATTTGGCTGCAAGTAACAGAATTCCTGAGCAACGGCGGCTTAAGCCTTGTAGACCTTGGTTTATCTGCAGTAACAAGAAGTCTGGAAGTCCGCAGTCCTGGAGCTGGTTTTGGGGCTCAGTGATATCTGCTGTCATCAAGACACATCCTCTTTCTAACATCCTTTAGGCTTCTTGTCCTTAGGTTTGTCACCTCATTGTCATGTAGTGGCTGCTACAACTCCAAGCTCTACGTCTTCACACTAGTGCTCTGAGAAGGAAAGTAGAGGCATGAGGAAAAAAAAGAGTTTTGCAAGATAGGCTCCAATATTTTTCTTAAAGGAAAAATTATTTTTGCCAGGTGCCCATCAACAGACTTCCCCTTTATCTTCTCAGCTGGAATTGGGTCACACTCCCAACCCTAGTCTAATCCTGAGAAAGGGAAATGGGTTCCATCATGATTCACCTCTGGGTACCTCTGTGAAAGCTGACCAAAGAAGGAAGGAAATGGCTCACAGGGTAAATACATATATATCAGTAGAAGCGTGAATCAACAATACAATCCTAGATTAAGCAAGAATCAGCCTTATCAATAGGCCAACGTTTAGGTCCTGGTTCCCCACCTCTCCTTGTGTGTATCTATATGACATTGGTTAAGACACAAGCTAGAGACCTGGGGTCCTTTTCCCTCCCCTGCAAAAATAGCAATGGAGAGAATGGAGGGCATCTAGGTGAATTCTCCATCCCTACCTACTTACAAATAAATTCTGCTCTAGTTCTAGATAGTGGGATAAAAGTGTATTACAGCAGACAATTAATGTGTCAAATGTGGGCCCTGGCACTGTCTGTCCTTCACCTCTGAAGGCCAGGCCAGTCCCTCCAGCCCTGCAAGATCAGGCTAACCTCATCCTCTGGTTAACAAAGAGGCTCCAGAGTGAGAGGTAGCTCACCTAGGCTTTGAACTCTGGCCTGGAAACATTTGGCGAATCACTGGGGTGTCCCAGTTTCCTGCCCTCTTAGACGGCAGCAATCATATCTACCTCACAGGGCTGTCGAAAGGACTAAATGAGAGAAAACACATTAAGAACTTAGCACAGTGTCTGGCACATAGCAGTTAATTTAAAATTGTTGAAGTTAAAATTATGATCTTACTTCCCTAAATGGATTCTAAGATTGAAGCAAGGACTATGTTTACTATCTTGTTCACATGTTTTCTTTACTGACAGCCCCCTTCCCACCCACCTTGCATGATATGTCAGATGTTCATTAAGAGTGAATGAATGCCACCTGACACCCATTAGGATGGCTACTACCAAAAAAATAGTAAGTGCTGGAGACACATAAGAGAAACTGGAACCCTTGTGCATATGGGTAGAAGAGTAAAATGGTGCAGCCAGTATAGAAAACAGTATGGTGATTCCTCAAAAAATTAAAAATCTGATTCAGCAATTCCATTTCTGAGTATATACTCAAATTAATTGAAAGCAGGGGCTCAAACAGATATTTGTACACCCATATTCATAGCAACATTATTCACAATAGCCAAAAGATGGAAGCAACCCGAGTGTCCATCAACGCGGATGAATGTATAAACAAAATGTGGTATGTGCATACAATGGAATATTATCCAGCCCTAAAAAGGAATGAAATTCTGACACAAGCTACAACATGGATGAACCTGGAGGACGCTATGCTAAGTGAAATAAGCTAGTCACAAAAAGATACATACTGGATGATTCCACTCATATAAGGTACCTAGAGTAGTCATTTTCATAGAGACAGAAAGCAGAATGGTTCCTGGTAGTCGGTTTCTTCTGGCGGTTGCCAGGACCTGGGAGGAGGGCAGAATGAAGAGCTGCTTTTTAATGGGTGTAGATTTTCAGTTTTGCAAGATGAAAAGGGCTCTGCAGGTTGGTTGCACAACAATGTGAATGTACTTAATAGTACTGAACAACACACTTAAAAATGGTTAAGATAGGGGGCTTCCCTGGAGGTCCAGTGATAAAGAAACCGCCTTCCAATGCGGGGGACGCAGGTTCAATCCCTGGTCAGGCAACTAAGATCCCACATGGTGTGGCGCAACTTAGCCGGTGTGCCACAACTACTGAGCCCGCGTGCCTCAACTAGAGAGCCCACGTGCTGCAAACTACAGAGCCCACGCGCTCTGGAGCCCGCACGCCACAACTAGAGAGAAGCCCGTGCGCCACAACAAAGAGCCCGCACACTGCAACGAATGATCCCACATGCCTCAACAAAGATCCTGCACGTCTCAATGAAGACCTGACAAGCCAAAAAATAAATAAAATAGATAAATAATAAATAAATCTAAAAAAAATGCAATCATTTTTTTAAAATGGTTAAGATAGTAAATTTTATGTTAAATGTATTTTACCACAATTTTTTTAAATGTTTAATGAATAAATGTATTGATACATGCTTCAGCATGAATGATCCTTAAAACATTAGACCAAGTGAAAGAAGTCAGTAACAAAAGGCTACTTACTGTATGATTCTGTTTCTAAAATGTCCAGAAGAGGCAAATCCATAGAGACAAAAAGTAGATTTGTGGTTTCCAGGGGTTAGGAAAACTACTAAAACTAAAAATGACAACTACTAAAAACTACTGAATTGTACTCTTTAAAAGGGTGACTTTTATGGTATATGAATCATATCTTAATAAAGCTGTTTTTAAAAAATGAATGAACAAATCAGATTCTAATTATATCCATATCATTGGGATCATTTTAATTCAGTGTCAGTTCCAGAAAGGAGGTTTATCTTGAATAATTTGGGTCAGAAATACGGGTAGCAAGACATTCAGGTGGGTCCTCTTGGCAAACCTCAGTCTGGCAGTCCCATCAGCCTTTGAGATTTGCTGCCTAATGGCCTGGTGAGGGTTTCTAGAATCCCCAGGCTTTAGCAATTGACCACAGGACCCTTATCTCCCTGAAGCCACTGGCTTGTCTAACTGTGGAGTCTCCTCAGGGCACTAGGACGAGAGAGAGAGTACATACCTTCCCCCGCAAACACCCTGCTGGGTATTCAGTTTACTACTTGTCATTATAATGATGTAATTGCATGCTGCTCATTGATAATGTGCAAAACAATCACTAGAGAGTATAAACAAGCAGATGGTGAGCAACCTCCTTGCAAAACACTAAAGGTAAACCTCAAAAGATTTTTTTGTTTAATTGGTTTTGCAAACCTGTGCAATAATCCCAGATGTGTAGCAGAGCATATGTGGCAGCTTGGAAGTGACAGTGACACATTCAGTAAAATGGCACATTGTCAGAACCAACCACAGGAGAAAACCCCAAGGCAATCAGGAGCCAGAAAGTGGAATTACGACGACGCACTGGCAGGCCTTTATTCCCATCAATGAGCCAAACGTTTCATGCTTAAAAACACCTTCTGTCCTCCTAACGCATTTTCATACAGCATGTAAATTTTAAGTTGCTTCTCCTGAAGATACTTTCCTCATCCACCCAACAGGAGCCTATGAGACTTGTTCTAGGAGCGCTCTCTACCATCAAGACCTGTATCCTGGTGTCTGGTGGGCTAGCATTGAAGGTTATGTCTAGTCCCCAAAACCACCAACCTGTACTGCACCAGACCCAGCATTCAACTCCTCTAACAACCTGAATGGGCTTCTAGAACTTACGGTAGTTGTTCAATAAGTACATATCTAGTAAATGAATTTTTCTGCCAAGAATTTGGCAAATCGTGTGCTAAGGCACCGACTGACTGCATGTCAAAAATTGCCCAAACAGTATTTTTAAAAATATTCTTTACTGGGCCCTGCTGAATCAGCCTCTCTAAGGTAGGCACTGAGGTCACTGTTATCACATTTCCCCTGGTGATACTGATGGAGCTTTCTGAAGACCCTAGTCTGGGTGCCACGGCTCTGAGAAATGCTCTCTTTGTTTGTCTGGCCACAGGGCTGGTGATTTTAATGGTTACCCCGCCCCTCAGGCCTTAGGGGTTCTCACTGTGGTTCTCACTGGGTCTTTGAAAAATTGAGTACTTGAAAATTAACAAACAATTCCAAAGACTGGAATATAAACATATATAAACAATGTAGGCCCAGAAAAAAATGATTATTATAGTTTTGTGAATCACTGATCCCTCTTTTCTGAGAGATTGATAAGTTCTTCAAGCCCCAGCAAAGAAAGGCAATCACCAGTTTTGTCATCTGAACCCTGGGTCCCTTTCTGCAGCCTCTTGTGGGTTCTACCAGCGGTGCAAAAGGCTCTGAGCATCTTCTTAGTTCTTAGCCACAGAACATGGGTTGTCTTTGTTCTCTCTAGCTGCTCTTCTCTTTTTTTTTAATTGAGATATAATTTACACACCATAAAATTCACCCTTTTAAAGTGTACAGTTCAGGGGGGTTGAGTATATGCACAAGACAGTGCCACCATTACCACTGCTAATTTCAGAATATTTTCATCACCCCAAAAGAAACCCCATGCCCAATACCAGTCATCCCACATCCCTTCCTTCCCCCAGTCCCTGGACCCCACTCATCTACTTTCTGTTTCTTTCGATTTTCTTATTCTGAACGTTTCATATAAATGGAATCATACAACATGTGGTCTTTAGCGACCAGCTTCTTTCACTTCCTGTAATGTTTTCAAGGTTCATCCATGCTGTTGCATATATGAGTATTTCATTCCTTTTATGGCTGAATAATATTCCACTATATGATATGTTATATTTCTCATCCATTCATCACTTGATAGACCTTTAGTTGTTTCTCCTTTGGGGCTATTGTGAATACTGCTGCTGTGAACTTTGGTGTACGGGTTTTTGTGTGGATGTGTGTCTTCCTTTCTCTTGGATATATAACTAGGAATGGATTTGATGCGTCATTTGGCGACACTATGTTTCACTTTTCTGAGGCGCTCCCAGACTGTTTCCCACAGCAGCTACGCCCTTTGGCTCTGTGGCTGCTCCTTGCTATGGCAGCACTTGGGCCCTTTCTTGGCCTCTGCATTTTGTGCCCCTCATCATCCCACTTGATCTGCAGATCTCTCCTGCAACACACTTCCAGGTGCTATGCTCTTGTTTCCTCCTCCTAGTTTCCCTGTAGATCAGCTAACCTGCCCCCAAGCAAAGAGAAGGGAAAGAGAACAAAAACCCCACGAGGCCCCTCTGGAGGCTGTGTGCTGTACCCCACGCTTTATGTGCACAGAATAAGACCATAGAGTGTCCCACCTAATCGGCCAAGAAACTGACACCTGGGCTAGTTTTATTGCTCCAACCTGCTTCCCGGGCCTCCGTGGCAATGTTACTCACACTATGTGTCACAGAATCTGGCGGTGCTCCAGAGGCTCAGCAAAAAAACAGCATTTTCTGCCAAACAATGAATACTTCAAATTCCTGAAAAATCCACTCCTCATTTTTATTTGTTTCATATTTCGAAGCTCCAGGAATCTGTCTTATTCACAGCTTGCCCAGGACTTAGAACAATACATGGCTTACGGTAGTTGTTCAATAAGTACATATCTAGTAAATGAATTTTTCTGCTAAGAATTTGGCAAATCGTGTGCTAAGGCACTGACTGACTGCATGTCAAAAATTGCCCAAACAGTATTTTTTAAAATATTCTTTACTGGGCCCTGCTGAATCAGCCTCTCTAAGGTAGGCACTGAGGTCACTGTTATCACATTTCCCCTGGTGATACTGATGGAGCTTTCTGAAGACCCTAGTCTGGGTGCCACGGCTCTGAGAAATGCTCTCTTTGTTTGTCTGGCCACAGGGCTGGTGATTTTAATGGTTACCCCGCCCCTCAGGCCTTAGGGGTTCTCACTGTGGTCCAGGACCACAGTTCAGCAACCATATGTCAGGGGTCTCTTCCTGGATCCACTGGCATTACAGTCCACTGGCCACTGCTTGCTTCACTCCAACCGTTAGATCTTTCAATGCAATTGATGATTCTCCATGTCTGGAGAGCCCCACAAGTCAGTCTTTTCCTATCCCTCTACTTTAGACTTGCTTTCTTATTATTAAGTAACAGAGATTAAAGCCATGCTACTTTGAACACAAGTTCCCCATGGCTGCAGAAAAGAATCTCACCACTTATATCCTATAACTCTCCCCACTGCTCCCCAAGGACTTGAGGGACAAACACAGGCCATGCAAGCATGTATGGGGTCAGTTCTCTTTTCCCTCCACCTATCAGAAAGGGGCAGGAGTTCCTACAGGCTCAGTTCTTCTTTCAAAGCCACGGCTAGTGTAGAAAGTTGTAATTTTTTTTCCACTGACAGTGGACCTAGAGAGAAAAAAAGAACTCCTGACTCACCTTTACTTGCGTGCTCAAGTTTCACTTCCCCTTTTCTCCCAGAAAGAAGAAGGACTTTATCGTGTTAGCACATTTAAAGATTCTCTGGAGCTGTTCAGTTATTTATCTACAGTCAGAGGAGGCCCACAGAGTGAGGAAGACCAGGGTGTAGCAGTAGAGTTGGCCCTAAAGGCAGTGCAGGGGTAGCAGTGAGGGTGGGAGTAGGGCGTGGGTGAGGGGAGGGGAGGGTGAAGCAAGGAGGCAGAGTGGGTCTAGATGGCCAGTCGGTAAAGCCCAGTCCACAGAGCACAGTATCCATGAGGGTGTAGCAATGTCCAATCCCAGTGCAAGCAAACCACCGCCGCCAGGGACTTGAGGAGTGTCACAGAGGAGCCACACAGACTCACACACTAGCACTCCACTCTAGCACTTTGCCACTCAAAGTGTGGTCCTCCGACCACCAGCAGTATTTGTTAAAAATGCAGAATCTCAGGTCCCATCACCCAACTGAACAAGACCCCCGCGTGATTTGAACACATATTAAATGGTGCTCAGAACCAGCTTGAGAAAAAGTACAACTCAGGAATAGGTGATTCTGACTCCAGAGGTTCCAACTGGTTTAGTCCTGGGATGAGGACGTGAGGTTCCCACCTCCATGTGCGCAGAATAATACTTTGAAGCCTTAACTAATTTTTCCACATATTTTTCTCTTTTGCCCCTTCCCCATTTCCAGCAGATAATCTATTTCATGCCCATGGCCATCTGGCAGGGATATGAGAGGATGGAAAGCTATAGAGAATGAGAGACAGACAGACTTCTTCCTGACAGTGGCTTCTGAAAGCCTAAAGCCCATGGTGGTACTGAATGTTTGGAAGTGGGTTTGGGGGAGAAGGGGACGCTCCACACCAGAAAAAATTTGCTTCATACTGGGGGAAAGGAGGGACAAGCAGTTGTCACTGGACAGATGTCCCTGAGGCCCAGAGACTGAGGCTCTGTGTCCTGATTGCTGCAGAGAGGAAGCTCCTGTGTCGGGGGATTCCTATTCCTTCACAGAATAGCATAGGAAAGGCCCTGGGACTTGAAGGAACCAAGTGGACAGGAACGAGGAGCATCCCAGGGGCAACCTGCATGAACCTGCATGTTGGAGGGACAGCCCGGGCAGACACCTACCGGACAGAGGCCTTGAAGATCACACAGGCCTTCGCTGCCACCATCAAAAGTCCTGCAGGGGCTTCCCTGGTGGCGCAGTGGTTGAGAGTCCACTTGCCGATGCAGGGGACACGCGTTCGTGCCCCGGTCCGGGAAGATCCCACGTGCCGCGGAGCAGCTGGGCCCGTGAGCCATGGCCGCTGAGCCTGTGCGTCCGGAGCCTGTGCTCCGCAACAGGAGAGGCCACAACGGTGAGAGGCCTGCCAACCACACACACACAAAAAAAAAGTCCTGCAGATGCAGATTTAAATAAATAATCAAAACAATGGCGGGCGCCAGTAGAAGCGGCGGGGTATTAAGTGTGAAGCCCCAGAGGATTAGGCACTTAGAATTAAGTTATTATAGAAAATAAAGGAAGCCAGAATGTGTGGTGAAAACTGTATGAGCTACATGGAAGGCTGGCAAGACTTGAACTCAAGAACAGCCTCCAAATGGCCCTTTTCTGAGGGCCCCTCACGTGACACCTCTTGGCAGCCACTCCTCTCACCACTACCTCCAAATTTTCTCCTTCGAATCCCCAACTCTGCCCCCTGAACATCTTATTTTCTTTTTCCTTTCTCTCTTCCTTTCTTTCCTTCTTTTTAAAAATTTTTTTAAATTGAAGTATAGTTGATTTACGATGTTGGGCCAATCTCTGCTGTACAACAAAGTGACTCAGTTATACACATAGAGACATTCTTTCTTTATATTTCCTTCTTTCCTTCCTCCCTCTCTCTCTCCCTTTCTTCCTTTCTTCCTTCCTTCCTTCCTTTCTTTCTTTCTTTCCTTCTTTCCTTCTTTCATTCTCCTCAAAATTGCCTTTAACACCCCAGCAGGAACGACCTCCATAACCCTTTCAAATAAAGATCCTGAACAACAGCAAGAAACAGCGCTTCTCCCCGCAGGGCAGGGAGAAGCCAGTTTTTAAAAACACAGGGCTTCACCTTCCCTCCCTGGAGGGGAAAGGAGACCCTGTGAATTCCCTCCCAGGTAAGGCGGGCCTGAGATGCTCCTGACGTCCGAGAAAGGGGGCAATGTTTCCATGTTAAAACAAAATAAGTTTTCTCATCTACTCTACCCAAGTATTCTTACCAACATCATTTTTAATGAAGTTGAGGTGAAATACATGTTAGCTTTTGGGAGAAATGCCAGCTAATCACAGCTAAGATGGTGTCCCCATTTCTACCCCTCTCACCTTCTCCAATGACAAAGGTCAGCTTTCCTAAAGATTCAGGGCCTTTGCAACCTGAAATGTCTACCCACAAAAGACTAATTCCTACTAAAAGCATTTGCCTTGTAATTGGTCCTGGAAGTGAAACTTGTACACAAGCTCCAGAAATAACAGTGGCTTGCTAGCAGCAACAGTACTGCAACCTCCTCCTTCCTGAAGTGAGGCCAGCCAGGGTGGAGGTAGAGACGTGCTGAGGGTAAGAGAAAATCCCACACACACTCTCCAGTCTCTGTTATTTCTGGGCAGGAACTTTTCCTACTGGATCCAAAAAAACCACGGGCTCTGGCTTTGTGCCAGCCCCCATCTCTACACTGGCCCTGAGCCTCTACATGGCAGCCTCTGCTGGTGCCCCCTAGAGAGAGCAGTGGGCGGCTCCTTCCTCCTCCAAACCCAGCAAGGTCTTTTTTCACTCTTTTCCAGGCTCAAAGAAGTGGAGCAAGCTGCCTGAAAGTGGGTACAGACAGCTAACTTAAGTGACTCAGATTACAACCTCTGCCTCTGCCTGTCCTCCACTTCCTCTTTCCCTTTCATCATCTCTGAGAGGTACCTGTGGGTGCCTTTCAAGCCTCCTGCTTTGGCTGTAGCATCTATAGTATAGTATGACCTCACCACACTATAGTGGGACAGCCCACTGTAGGGGGACCCATTAGTTGTAAGGCGGCTGGACAGAGAAAGAGAAAGGGAAAGAAGGCATGTAGGGAAGAAACCATGAAATGAGAAAGTGAGAAATGACCTGCCAGTCCTGGTTCCTGATACTTCATTTCCTGCTTCCATACTTCTTGAAGTTTGACAACACTTGGGTTCCACAAAGCATCATTGCGCATCACCCCAGCATCTTCTGTCCCCATCAGAGCTGTGCTATTCCTTCACTTAGATTGTCTGTCTCTCTCACAATGATCCGGGACCTCCTTGACACCAGGGATCTTTTCTTATTCATATTTGTAACTTCAACCCTTGATGGAGAAGTCTGGCACAGAGAAGGTGATTCAAATGTTGGTTGAATCAATAAAAGGACAACTTGATTGTCACACATTATCCTTGTGTTTAGTGACCAAAATTGTTAGACATTGTTTGTGCTTTGCATATATGCACACACACACACACACACACCCCAATATTAAACATCTTTTCTTCCATTCATGGTTGACGGTTAAATAGAATATTCTTTTGTAAATACAGTAAACGTGATTATCTTCTCGGCACATGTGCTTTTCATGGCCGTCCAGAGACAAGGGCTCTTTGGTGATGCTCATGCTTGTGGAAACTCGTGCAGGACCTTCAGGAGTGAGTAGTTGCCTCCCCAGCTGTTATTCTCCCTCTTGGAAGCAGCACCCATGTCCTGCTGTAGATGTTAAACATGCCAGGCCAGCAAATTGTCAGGCTCATTTGCAGCTAGATCACAGGCAGGTGACCTAGTCTTGGGACCTGCTGTGGCTTCTGCTGAGAAGCTCTGAGAAAGAAGGTCCTCCTTAATAACGGAAGAGGCAGGATGGGAAGACCCCTGCCTTGCTGCTGGAGACAAGGCCTGGTGAGGATGTGATGCTTGGAACCCAAAGTGATTTTAAAACCATGAAGGGAGATAGCACCAAAACACTGAGAATGGCAGAGCAGGAAAATGAGAAGAGCCTGGGTGCTTAACAACTGTGGCAGACTGAGTGTTCAAGTAGGATACCTTGAAGATATCCATGATCTGATCCCTAGAACTTGTAAATCTTACCTTACGTAAGGAAAAGGACTTAGCAGGTGTGATTAAGTTACGGATCTTGAGATGAAGAGGTTATCCTGAATTATCTGGGCGGGTCCTAAAGGTAATCACAAGGGTCCATAAAAGAGGAACGCAGAGGGAGATTTGAGTACAGAAATAGAAAGCAAGAGGTGGAGTGATTCAAGGAAGGGGCCATGAGCTGAGGAAAGCAGGAGGCCTCCAGGAGCTAAGGAAGGCAAGGAAACAGATTCTCCCCTAAAGCCTCCAGAAAAAAACCAGCGCTGCCAACGGACCTTAATCCAGTGAAATTGATTTCAGACGTCTGGCCTCCAGAGCTGTAAGAGAATAAATTTGGTTGCTTTAAGCCACCAAGTGTGTGATAATTTGTCATAGCAGCAGTTTGTCAACAGCAACCTAACAATGAACCAGCCCTGGGAACTCCCTACCTCTGGATTTCTTGTGAAATGACATCATTTTTTTTTTTTTTTTTTTTTTTTTTTTGCGGTACGCAGGCTTCTCACTGCTGTGGCCTCTCCCGTTGCGGAGCACAGGCTCCGGACGCGCAGGCCCAGTGGCCATGGCTCACGGGCCCAGCCGCTCCGCGACATGTGGCATCTTCCCAGACCGGGGCACGAACCCGTGTCCCCTGCATCAGCAGGCGGACTCTCAACCACTGCGCCACCAGGGAAGCCCCGACATCATTTTTTAAATTCCTATGTTCTTAAGCTACTTTTCAGCAAGACTGGATGTTATCGATACTTATGGCCCAAAGCATCCTAAATAATACTTTTAGCACGAGCATTGGCAGTTTTGGTAAGGGCGTTATAGGATATTGATTCCGCTGCTAACACAGAAAGAATTTAAGTACATATAGAGAGAGAGGGCTGGCAGGGCAGTTCAGGTTCAAGAGCTTTGCCCAGAACCAAGCTTCACCTACCTAGCACATTGGGTACCTCCCACTTAATTTTTTTTTTTAGTAGTGATCAAATAAGTAGCTTTTTGAATTATCATTAAAGTATGTCTGATTGCTCCGCCATTCTTGTGGGGTTGCCCTCATCCTCATGGCCCACGTGGCTTGTCACCACTGCAATGGAAAACCAGCCAAAGAGAAGAGGGGCAGGTCCCAGGATGAGGGACCTGGAAAGCCACACCTCCACTCGCACAGCAATAGTCAGAACTGGTCACAGGACCATGCTTACGTGTCAGGAAAGCTGGAAGTCTTTATTCCAATGTGCCCAATTAGAAACTCAGAAAAAGAAGGGAGATCCTATATTGGGGGATGCCAAATGACCTGTTTCAGGAGTTCCACTGACAGATTACATGAGCATTCAAGTTAAAATCAAGAAGGAGGTGTCAGCGTCTCAGTACTATGGCCTATATAATCAATCCTACTGGTGAAGTTTAACTCAGTCCAGACCTCTCCTGGTCTGCTGCTCTGGTTCATGATTTTTTTTTGGGGGGGGGTAGCAGCAGAACCTTCAGTGTGTAAGGAAGATACCAGCGGTGGTGTCCCTCCCCCTTACCTGTCCCTCATCATCTAGGGCATGTCTTTGGAACATTGTTGTTCCAGGAACACACTTTGAAATTGTCTCTAAAAGGAAACAAAACCATACTGCCAGACACAGTGATTCCTGGGGATTCCCAAGGCTGCTGAGTTTATTTCTTCTCTGAGAAACCCCCAACCCTTGGTAAAGAAGCTGGACGGGTCCTGTTTCTGAACTCAGCACTTGGTCTATTTTAGAGTCACTCACTGCAGGAGAAACAGAACCTTGAGCACGCACTCCTCTCAGCACGTGAGAAGCCATTTTCAATTACACTCTGGAGCGCACGGTGCTGTCTGGGGCCAGAGTGAATGCTGGTTGCCATAGCACTGCTTTAAATTATGTCTGTGCTGACACACTGTCACATGCTGTTCCCATACACGGGGGCCACGTCTATCTCTTCCCACTGTTTGTTGCTTGATGCTTGAGCTCTGCACCAGGAATAGAGATATATGAGCAAGAAAGCAAATGCATGTGGTCGCCACACCTTCTACCTAAATAATATATAAGATACCATGGATTGGAAATACTTTAACTATGAAACAAAAGATCCAGGTTCTGTTCACAGTTCTCTGCTGTGTAGCTTTGGGCAAATCCTTTACTCTCTCTGTGCCTCGGTTTCCTTACCTGTACAATGA